AGAGAGAGAGAGAGACCATAAAACCAACCTGAGCAGAGGATATAAAGACGGGCGAGTCGAGAAGGCCTGTCGGGCTAAGACCTGGAGGGATAGTAAGGAAAGACGGAGGCGAAACCACGAGACTCAAAGGCCTACTCTGTTTCACTGTTACAGAATCCTGGCCAGAATTCTCGCCAGAAAAACCAGAATTGCCACTGGAAAAGGCCGGATTCCGGCCATGGAAGGCATTGGGAGAGGCCATGGCACCTGCAAGTAACTGAGAGAAAGAGCGGCACTCGGTTTCAGCATCGTTCTCAGAGAAAAAGGAGGTGACCAGGGTCATGGGTCCTGGGCTTATATCTGAGCCACCTTTGAAAAAATTCTCCACTGAAGAGCGACCTGGCAGGGTTATAGTGGGGCGAGGTGGTGGTTCTTTTGATGCCCCAGCTTCTTTTCCAGCCATGGCGGTTGATGGGTTACCTGTAATTCACTGTGTTCTTAACACCCCAAAAACCCATTTTGGTTAGAGAGAGAGAGAGGGGAAGTGAATTACCAGATAGAGAGACGTGAATTCCAAGAGGGAGGGAGAGAGAGAGAGAGAGAGAGGTGTGCAATTGAGGAAGTCAGAATGGAGAGGATGGACAGATGGGGCTGGATATCTAAAGGTCGTCTCTTTTCCTGCGTGCCTTTCGATGAGAAACAGAGATGGGTGAGTTGATCAATTGATAGAGAGAGAGAGAGATAGAGAGACGGGGGTTAGACTGAAAGTCGTCTCGAGGAGATGTGAATGGCTCAGAGAGGAAGAGCTGGGTAGGACTCTAGAGAGAAAAAGACTAATGGGGCCTAGACTCTAGAGAGAGAGAGAGGGCGGATTTGGTTCCTGAAAGTCACCAGCAAGTGGGATTGGGCATCCGTTTAATAGTGGGAAAAGCGAGAGGGATGATGGTGAAGAGAGAGTTGGACTTGGAGGTCGTCTAGAGTGAGAAAGACTTTTGGGTTTGTGAGGTCGAGAGAGAGACACATGGGTTTCTGAGGTCGAGAGAGAGACTTGGGTTTGTGAGGTTCTTTAGAGAGAGAAACTCTTGGGTTTGTGAGGCTCTTTAGAGAGAGAGAGGTGGGACTGTGTTGCCAAAAGTCGTCGTCGTCCTGTGCACGTTCAATTCCAGCATGTAGAGAGAGAGAGAGGAGGGGAGAGTCCGTTGAGTCGAAGGTGATCTAGAGAGAGAAAGAGTTAGAGAGAGGTTCGATGGGTTGGAACGGGCGGTGTAGCAAAGAGGGAGAGAGAGAACAGAGACCACGACGACTTAGAGAGAGAAAGTAACACAACACCCTTTCTCTCTCTTCTTCCTGTGTCTTAAAGTAGAGAGAAACACAGCACACTTCACTTCCTCCGCCTTCCTCTCTCTTCTTCCTGCGTCTAGAGAGAGAAAGACACAGCACACTTCCTCCGCCTTCCTCTCTCTTCTTCCTGCGTCTAGAGAGAGAAAGACACAGCACACTTCCTCCGCCTTCCTCTCTCTTCTTCCTACGTCTAGAGAGAGAAAGACACAGCACACTTCCTCCGCCTTTGGCTCTCCTCTTCCACCCTCTGAAAACCGACCCCAAAGAAAACAAACAAAACAAAATGAGATCATTGACCTCAGACCAATAGAGACTTTCTCTCTCTAGATTTCCAGATAAAAGCTCACTCTCTTTCTCTCTCTAGCCCGAGGGAAGAACCTTCAGGGAAGGCAGCGGCGTTATCTGAAGCTTGGCTCCAGCCGAGCCGAGCCAAGCCATGATAGAGCCGATCTACCAATGCCCTTTACTCAAAGACATTTTTTTTTTCCAAAATGACTAAATCAACCTCCCATGCTAAATAATCAACACGAGATCTGGCTTTCCATGGTTTTCATGCCAAATAGAATTAGCAGCAGTTTACATAAGGCTGCAGTCTTAAATAATCAAAGTAAAGTGTATTTTAAACTTTGTCATCAGATGTAATTGTAATGTCGAAAATTTGTAGGATGGTACAAAAATTTTCTTCTTCTTTTATTTCTAACTATAAGATTTTAAACTCCAAAAATTGTTCACATCAAACATATCGACATACACATGAAAGTCTTGAAAATAGACAATCTAGATAATGTCTTGTAAGATGTACCATTTTTAGGACACGAAATTTCTTTTTTTCCATATCTATACATTTCAATGTTGAGATAATCAATTAGATATTTTTTCAACATCAAAACAACATTTTTCAAAGGATTTTAGAGGCGCATCATTATCATCAACGTCTTTTTCCAACTAAATTGGGGTCGGCTATACAAATCTTGGTCCGTTATTCTACTTTATTAAGGGTCATAGCCTCAGTGAGGCCATACATCTCTAAATATTTTCTCACTACTTCTAACCATGTCCTTTTGGACCTACCCAATATTTCACTTGAACTAACTCGCACCTCCTAACAGGTGATGTGCTGGGTCTGCGCCACATATGGCCAGCCCACCTTAGTCGACTCTCTCTCATCTTATCACCTATTGTTGCTGCACCTAAATTTTTTCGAATGTATTAATTTCGAATTCTATCCCTTCTTCTTTTGTCACTCATCCATCTCAACATCCTTATCTACATTGCACTCATTCTATGGGACCGCCCAACATTCCTCCTCATAGAGCATAGTTGGTCTCACACATGTCCTATAGAACTAGGTCTTCAGTTTCATTACTATGCGGCGATCATATAAAATTGTGGTTGCACATCTCCACTTCACCCACGTAGCTCTAATTCTAAGTGTGACATCTTCCCCGCTCTCTCAATTTTCCTAGATTATCCACCCAAGATGTCGAAAGTATATTCTTTTTTGGTATTTCCTTGCCATCAATCTTTAACCACTTCCTTATCTTTACTCATATTATTACTAAACTTGCATTCTATATACTTTGTCGTAGTCTGGCTAATTTTAATACATTTAAATTCTAGAGCATCCCTCCAAAGTTCTAACTTTGTATTGACGTTGTTTCGGGTCTCATCGATCAAAACCATGTCATCTACAAACAACATGCACCATGGTTTTTCATCTTATTGGTGTCTAGTTAAGTCGTCCATACCTAAAACAAAGAAATATGAACTTAATTTTGACCCCTTGATGTAGACATATTGTCACTGAAAATTCACTCGTCTCTCCACTAGTTGGTCTTATACTAGTTAGCGCTCTATCATATCTCTCACCAAATTGATGTAGTGTCTGGAGATTCTTTTCTTTTCCAACTCCTACCAAATTAAATTTCAATGTACTTTACCATAAGTTTTCTTCAGATCAATAAAAACCATGTAAAGGTATTTTTCCTTCGTCCTAAATTTCTCAATTAATTGCCTAAATAAGAAAACAACTTCGGTTGTTGATCTTCTTAGAATCAATTCGAATTGGTTTTCTAATACACTCACTTCGTGCCATAATTGTTGCTCATTCACTCTTTTCACAGCTTCATAGTGTGGCCCATAGTTAAAGGAGCATGTTAATTCTAAATTTTAAGGTGCCAACCTTATATAAACTTTTTCTAATTGAGTATATGATACCTGGGAAAGTCATAACCGCTTGATCAATTATATGAAATAAATTGATCAAAATACCCCTGAAAAGTTTCAGGGGTATTTTGGTCAATGTTATTTCACGAATTATTTCTTTATGTTTTATTAGGTGTCGATCATTCCGATTTGTAGAAATAAATAAAAATGAAATACTGCCGGACAATCATGACCGT